TAGGCCTTCCAGACATTTCTCTATCAACTGGTGGAAGAACAGGGTCAATTCTAGATTTCTTCCCATCTTGAGGCCCATTAATAGGTTGCAAAACATATTTGTATGTTTGACTGTATGTTTCTTTGTGATAATAGGAATGTAAAAACTCATATAGGTCCCCACCAGTATGCCATATTGCACAACAAGCATGCAAACACAGAATCCCACATAGTTGCCACCTTCTACAGGTACATATTCTTTCATTCAAGTCTACAATGTACTGCTTATTCCCTTTCTTTACCTCACATCTATTATCTCTATTCCAAATCATTCTCCACTGAATGATGTCTTTCTTCATGATGTCAAATTTTTTATTGATTAGTGGCCCATAATTGTACTTCCATGTAGTCAATAATCTCCGCTTTCTTGTACCTTGCATCAACAATGCTCAAATTAAAAGCCTCGCATAAATTATTTTCCACTATATCTGACTTGGCATGCATCATTTGAAAGGCTTTGGTCCACATTTTCTCTTTTTTGCCAAACAATTCAATAGCTAGTATGCTATCAATCTTTGACAGTGCATCTTTGTTCTCCTCTCATTCTCTCTCAGTCGTCGACTTCACAATTTGCCAAAAGGCAAACTGGTATTTTTTTGCTCTCTTCCTTCCAGTCTAATTCGTAAACACGTGTCGAGCACAATTTCGATGTTCTATTCGTGGTAGAACATCATTTACAGCAATCTCAACACCTTGTCAAACAAAATTTTACTTAATTTAAGATTTTATTCAATTATCATATAACAATATCTAAACATGCTTGTAACTAATTTTAGTTTTCAGATAAATATCATTTTCAATTGATCTAGAATGTTGAATTAGAAATAAACAAACAAGTTTTTTTGTAGACCAATTGCAATTACTAATTAATAATACAGTGGAAATTGAGATATAGCAGCAACAAATTAGACTGTTAAAAATAAACTAACAACTAGCATCAAATAAATTTAATTACCTTGTGTTGGTCAGTGATGATGGTGTAGACAAATCCATCAACCAATCCCAAGTCTGCTGCCACTATACTTATAAACCAAGACCAAGAATCTATGCTTTCACCCTCAACAACAGCCCATGTGATAGGGTACATCTGATCATTGCCATCTCTCCCAACAACAGATAAAAGTATGTCTTTGAACGGACCCTTAAGTAAGCAACCATCTAGACCAATTATAGGCCTACACCCTTCTTTCTAACCTCTCTTCATAGCTTCAAAGCATACATAAAATCATTTGAAGTGAGGTGTAGAATTATCTGACACCCTATTTATTGTCATCTTTATTGTACTCCCTGGATTCTTTGCCCGTAACTCATATGCATAGTCCCACAAGTTAGAAAATTCTTCCTTCATATTTCCACCCAACCTTGATGTCACCAAATTCTTTGCCCGTCGACATTTACTCAGCTTAACATTTACATGTATTTCATATTGCACCCTTCTTTGTATCTCTTTAAGCTTCATTTTTAGGTGGTCTCTAATAGTATCTTCAAAATGTTTTGCAATTACCTTAGCAGTCATCATCCCGTTACTAAAACTAACAGGGCAGTTGTGTTCATCTATGAAAGTCTTAACCTATAAACTCACCGTCATCTTATTTGTACTAACATAGATTCACCATGGAAAACTTTTAGATGCAATACATTTGTAACTAGTCCTATTAGTTTCAAAATGTATAATTCTCAACTCTCTTCTACTGTATCTTGAGTATTTATGGATGACATCTTTGAATTGTTTGCCATCAATAAATAACATCCCCAAACTAAAATGAGGACTCTCTATATTTGGGTTGTAAATAGGATATCTTCCTCTTCTCCTAGCACATTCTTCATGTTGATCATCATCTGACCTAATCAAACTCCCATAGTCATCACTGTCATAGTAATCAGTATCATTCCTGCCAACACCTTTTGTAACTCCATTATTTCCTCCCTCATCTACTGCCTCATCATGGATCTCAGTGTCATTTCCTATCAAACCACTATCATTTTCCTCATCAACATATTTTTTACCTTTAATTTTCTTTTTATCAGATTGTAGTTCATTATCATCCTTATCGTCAGATAAATATGGCACATTTATACTATATGCATTTTGTTCCTCACTATCACTCTCTTCATCATCTTCATTTGTATTCTCAGTTTCTTGGACAGCCTCACCACCACCACCACCACCAGCATCAATACCACCATCTCTTTCAGTAGCAACATCCTGAACACTACCCTCCCATATAGCAGTATCCTCAACACCACCCCATCACACTTAAAATCACCAAGTTCTGCAATATCTCCAATATCATCAAGACCAACAGCATCAACTACATTTTCAGCAACCCTCTCAACAGCACAATCACCAACACCCTCACCGGCAGTTATTCGTAAAATATCATCAACAATAATAGGGGTGTCTACTTCATGCTCAACCTATATGTCTATAAACTATGTCTATAAACCCATATTTTACCCAATAATTCAACATGGCATTTGCACTTGTATCATCCCAAAGCACCCTAATATTATCTTGTAAACGACCACTAAATTATTCATGGAAGTAGATAATTTGGATACTACTAAAATGTAAAGCATTTTGAATATTTTTACGAACTTCAAAGTACGAAATTGTATATGGATCCTCTTTCAACCTAATCAACTCACCACCTACATATCGCACGTATGGATCACGTACAAATTTGCCACCAACATGCAAATTCATGTAATACTCCTTATCCTCGTCCATATGTTTTTAATAATAAAAAAATTATTGTTAGCATGCACATGGAGGGACCCAAAGCAGTAAAAAACAATCAATGGATGCATGCACATGGAGGGACCACATTTCCAGAAAAAAAAAACCAAACATGCAATCCCCACCACTCATATACCCTACAAAATGCAGTCCCCACCGATGATATATGCATGAAATTATGATTTCCACCTTCGATTCATTACTGGAAACCCAAATAATAAAGGCATAAACCCAAATATATAACATTTCGTGCAAACCCAAACAAACCCAATTCGGAGAAAAAAGACCTAACAGATTTTCACATCAATTTGTACGGTTATTAAAAACCCACTAGTTAGCAAACCCAAATATTTAACAAATGATTCGAGACAAATGCAGAAACCAAAACATTTAACCAAACCCATTTATCTTAAACAAACCCGAATATTTGAGGTTTTTCTTTAAAAACTGAACTCACCTTCTATTGCATTTGAGATGGAGAAATTGAAAGGGGAAAAGATTCGGAATTCGTTCTTGATTCGAATTTGATGGAGATGGAATTGAAAGGGGATATGAGATTAGGGTTTTAGATCGATTTAAATTTGGAGATACTTGGATCTAGGAGAAAATGAGATTAAACGTAGATGCCTGCAAGATATTTGACATGCTAGTTTCATTTTGTTTAATTAAACTAAACATTTAGTATGGGTTAAATAGGGTTTTGTTTCATAACAAAACCGAGTAGTATGCTTGGCTTGGTGGTAAGGGGCATCCTATTTCGCACTCTTGCCACAGGTTTGAGTCTCCTTCGACGCAAGTAGCCTTTTATTCATTCTTTTCAATCTGCACCTATAAGAGAGTGACACGTGTCGCTCTTATTGGTACAAAATTTTCATAAAAATTAATTTATTAACAAAAAATATGACGTGTCAATTCCATGTCTGCATACATTAGTGACGTGGACACGTCACATCATCATTTGTGTCCACATGTGCTTGCTTAGTCAGCTGGAGGCGTTGAAATGTTCCATCCAACGGGGGTGACTTTTGAATCAAAATAAAATGTTGGGGTCAAATGTTCCAAGAAAAATAATAGGGGCAAATTTGCGTATACTGTCAAACGTTATGGATATTTGTTTGCATTATGCCTTTCATTATATATATATATATATATATATATATATATATATATTGTTTTTTATTTCTTTTTTAAACTTCTATTTTTTATCAAACTAAATTAACTGATAAAAAATAACAGATATCTTAAGCAAACGTTAATTATTTTATTTTTTATAATTATTTTGTATATTTTTTAATACTTAAGTAAATTTTATAATTTTTAATAATCGGAATATGTGTAAAAATTTTTAACATTTTATCATTTTAAAAGTTTTTATTAATTTTTAAAATATATTTATAATATTTACGTAAAATGATAAAAAATAATTACATCAAGATTGACGAAAGTAAAAGCAACTTACATATGTTATCTTTTCTAATTAGCTTGATTTAATTAAAAAATCGACAAAAAAATAGAGTTCAGAAAATATTTAAAGGCTTATATATATATATATATATATTGAAAAGGCAAATAATTTATTTTCAAAGAATTCGTGAGTTAAAAATATTACTGTATAGTAATATGATTTTTTTCGGGTCACATTGGTTTACTAATTTGATCCAAACAGAGATCTGAAGTCCTCAACTTGGATCACCGTTATAGCCATATTTGTTTTCCTGGATCACATTAACCTCTTTTTTTTAAAAGTATAAAAACCTCGAATACTATTAAGCATAACATTTTATTTTTACAAATTCAAATAAAAAAACAATTAAATCAATTTTTATCAATTTGAATCACAGTTTCTTAATTTTTAAAATTATTTTTTATATAGTAAATTAAATTGCTTTTATTAATTTAAATAAAAAAATATCTATTTCATAATATAAAAGATTGAAACCAAGCTATAATTTAAACAAATATAAATTTAATTCGATTTAAATTGAATAATTCCATTTTTCTAACTAGTCAACCAACTAAAACTAAATGCCCAATAAGTACTGCTGAATTGTTTTTTTCTTTCAATCTTTTCCGGCCAAGGCAAATAAGCCACCTTCAGATTATATTATATCAAACCCTAAACCAAATACCCAAGAAGTAGTGCTCAAATTGTTTATTTAAACACTAAGATGAGCATTGATTTTAATATATACCACCCACACCCAAAGGATTTGTTAAATCTATGCGAAAGGCAGCAGAAAATTTTATTTTTGTCATGAGTTAAAAATACGCATAAAACCATACCAGTCTGTTGTACAAAGCTACACAAAACAGTTGGGCTTAATGGTAAGCAAAGTGCTTAGTGAGACTGGAGCATCATGATTTGTTTACCAACTGCCAAATAGGAAGCAATGCTTACCATCTCTTTAGCCTTTTGCAGGATCTGAATCCTGCTTTTGGTATTGTTCCAGAACGATATTACAATTATTCATCGTTCGAGCATCTAGCACGCCGTGATTCCACAACTTGATCATCAATAATCTCCAACACCTGCCGATGCAACAAATGCTTACTTATCATCCATCCAATGCACATCAAAAACAGCACCAAAACTGATATCTCACTATACATCAACCACCCAGTATCACTCGAAATATTTGTGTATCACTCGAAATATTTGTATAATATTATAATCGAGCAAGCAAATGCATACAAAACTAAGAAGAGAATGAACCTACCACTGATGTAGAGAAAAATGAGTACACAGGCGAATGTACACATTAATAACATTAATAATAAATAAATAAATAAACAACCTACCAGATGAGAGCTGGTGCTTTGACAAGGTCACGCCCATGTAATTTTGAAAATGCTTCACATGCCCATGGAATATGACCATCTGCCAACACCCTGCCGTCACAAATATAAAATACAATACAAGCAAATCAACAACCGGAAGGTCCACGACACTGTTTCAAATCAACAAAAGAGGAACGAATGATAAGGAAAATAAATTCTTCGGAGTCATACAGATAGGTTCAAATGTGTTGAAAAAATAATATAATAGTTAAAGAGAGGAGGGAAGACAACCATGGCACTTGCAGATTCAGTTCAAATGCAATTGTTAAATATAAACCACTATGAGGAATGTGGAAGCAAGAATGTATGAAACATGGCTTATATTAGAATGGAAAATCCTATGACCTTCCATTAAGCCCCTTTTTTTTCCAGAGAATGTATAATGTGATGGATTATATGAATCCATCAACCCGATTCAAGTTGGAAAGGTTAAATGAATAGAGAAAAGAGAGAAAAAAAAAAAGCAGAGAAAACGATGGATCATATGATTCTGTCAACCAGTTTCAAGTCGGAAAGGTAAAAGGAATAGAGTAACCAAACCAAAACAAAAAAGCATAGAGAATGACATGCTTACCTTTGCTTCCTCACAAACGAGTTCCACAAATGCATTATTTGCTTCTCGTCTTTGGTTACATCCACGAAATCATCCAGCATCTGCAACATGCTCGAGCATCTTAATGCAATCTTTGTAAATGAAAAAAGCTTCACCAAGTCAAAAAAAAAAAGACGCAATTCATTCAGAAGCCCTAACAACTAAAACCATGTGTTGCTGAGATCCAGAGAGTCGAAATTTTAATTTTGTAATGGTTGGTAACATTATTGATTACTGATTGATACCTTATTATTATCAGTTCAATGATTTCAGTTCCTAGCTTGTCCTCATTGCAGGTAAATTGGTCACATCAATACAATTTACGTCCCCAAAAGCATTCATAAGAATAAAATCTACACATTTTTTCATAAACTACCCTTCATACATTCCTTGGAAAGAATATACTAACTTCAGAATGGTTACTTTGGTTCCAATTTTCCTATAAATTAGTGTAAAAACTTTCTAATATGGTGCTAGTTGATACCTACATCACCCTCCAATTCTTAGCTAGCCACTAACCAAAATCTGATACAAAAAGTACTTCCAAACAAGCATCCAAATAGAATGATTATGAAAGAATAAACAACTAAAAATATAAACAAAAACATACCCTTCGATCTTCCAAATCTGCAACATCATCATCAACCTCATCCTCACTATCTCTATCAGACATTACTTGATCCATCGCCATTGGCTGCAAGAGAGACATATAGTTTAAGAGATTTGATGTATAAACTATTAAGTGAAGCACAACTTTCTTAGTTGACTATTACTAAGCTTAATATCTCTTGATAAAAGCTAATGCAAAGATGAATCAAGTATATCACACAAAATGGGAAAACCAAAACCAGTCCTCACTCCATTTCGTATGCCCCCTACAGACAACTAGCTAGGCCACAACCAGAAATTAGATCCAAACTTTTAACAGTGTGAATGTGCGTGTGAGATAAGTGTAAGCAACATAAGGCAATATTTTTCTTTTCCTCTTTGTCCCCACTCTTCCTCTCACACGGTAAAGTTTATTGATACCACAGCAATTTTTCAGAACCAATAACAAGCACATATTACAAAGTTCTCACTCACCTGTGCTCTATGTGAGTGAAAAAACTGTTGCTTCTGAAGAAGTGTACGGCTGAAAAGACAGAAAAGAGTAAATCAAACCATATTCATGATTCAACAACACCTTAGTCATTAGGGGAAATGAGACGGTGAGCGGAGAAGGAAAAATTATCCAAACAAGAGATAAGTTCAAATGAGCACACTAAAACACACTTCCATCTTTAACTGGTTAGTCATAAATGTTCTTGTCAGTTAAATTACCAAACTGGGATAGAAATGATAGATATAGGATTTAGACCATTAATGCCTATCTAAGGAATCATGGTGCTGCTTGACAGATAGGGGAGTAAATAGAATACCTTCCACACCATATAGTTATCACACCAACATTCTCTAGCAACAATAATCTGACAGACTATTACCATTTACACCAAGAAAGTCAAATGTAGAAAGGTTCACAATAATGACTAGGCAAAGTCTTTAAATTCATGGACCAAGCACAATTGGTAATTCTCTAATTTAAAAAAGGCATTTAATCGATGCACTGATTTGGAATGAATTAAGAGCACCGAATAAATAGAGAAAAAAATGAAACCTACTTTCTTGGATCAGAACGTTCCATCGATATTTTTCTCGTCTTCGCAAATTGCAACAAGGCAGGGGGTGTGAGATTGTTTCCAGACACTGATTGAATACGTTCAGAATCAGAATATGATTGTCCAACAGCGCCTGAAACCCCAGCAACATTGAAACTGGATGGAAGATGTTGTGCATACTCCACAGCACCAATTCTAGAATTTTGTAAAATTGTTCCACCTGAGACAAGAGCCCCTTCATCAATGTTTGAATGAGCTAAAGTGACAAACAAGATCCTCAAGGTTCATCACTTCTGTTACAGGATGTAAATTACCTAAAATAAGTAGTACAGCTGTGGTTTGTCTAGTGCTAAAAGTTCGGGTATTTTTTTAGTTTAATTCATTCCCTTTCTTGCGTTATTACACTTGTATATATAACTATATTTTATTGGTGCATAATAAGAAAAATATTCCATTATTCTCTGCTTTTAACATTGTATTAAAGCCAGGTTTCTTTGATTTATTTCCCTAAAATTTTGTTCGTTCTCATCTCTTTTGTGAATCTCCAGCTACAGTGCTCGTTGCGGGACTTGAAAATTTTTAATTTTTGGGTAGGAACCTAATATCATGGAGAAATATGAAGCAAAATGGTGTATCTCGATCCAGTGTAGAATCAGAATATAGGACTACGGTACAATCCACATGTGAAATTATATGGATGCATCATCTTCTAACTGAAGTTGGGTTGGAGCATCAATCACCAGCAAAACTTTGTGCAACAACCAAGCAACTCTTCATATTGCCTCGAATACAGTCTATCACATAAAAACCAAACATATCAAGGTTGATTGTCACTTCTTTTGTGAAAAGATTCTCGACAATATTATATCTATTGGTTATGTGAAACAAGATGGCAAATTGCCAATTTGTTCACAAAGATGCTAAATGAAAATCAAGTTGATTATGCTTCAGCTTGATGGGAGGGTAACAGGATGTAAATTACCTAAAATAAGTTGTACAGCTGTAGTTTGTCTTGGGCTAAAAGTTTGGGTATTTTTTTAGTTTAATTTATTTCCTTTTCTTGTGCTATTTACACTTGTATATTGTTAGCAAACCGGAGAATAATTCAATAAACATACTGCCAAAGGCAGATTACATATAACATTCGAAAATACCAGCCTACAAGGTAATTCGAGGGACCTTTTTCCTCTCAAAACTAACCAACTGACCAGCCCAAAAACATCCCTGTTTTCCCTTCTTTCTAGTACAAGTAACCCACCAAAAATAACTGTTAGCAACTGTTAGGGATCATAATAAACAACCTAAACAAACACAACTGATGGTAACTACCAGAAACCATTAATACATAAAAACTAATGAACAACACAGTGTACTAAATAAGATTGTCAACCTTGCTTCTACGAGTGTAAACCTTATGAACTGTAGGTCTAACATATATATAGTTATATTTTCTTGGTGAATGATAAGAAAATTATTCCATTGTTCTCTTCTTTTAACAAGTTCAATCCAGATTGTTTCAGATTTGACTTATGCACAAAGGTCATAAAAGGTCAATTGACAACAAAACCCTTGTAATTTTCTTTGGTCATATGATCCATCGGTATGGATGCATCATATTTTTGGCACCACAACATGCTGGTTAAATTTTTTTACCTTAGAATATTTGAAAAAATATAATTGGAAATACCAGAAACCAATATCTCAACTTAAAAGTCCCACTCAACCTATTTAAGGATAATCAGGAAGGAACTTATTTTAAACCAAAGCTGCGGTTATTTTGTTTCAGCTTTAACCAGGTAACCTTAGTTTCACTTTCCTCCTCCAGGAGTGGCTAGACAACCCTTTTTCTTTAAGAAAATATTAAACTTGGTTAAACAAAATGATTTTTTAATAGAAAGTTAAAACTAAACCATGTAATCATAAACAAAAATGTCATACCATGAACCTTGTCAAGAAGCTCACCGCCTCCTGCATGCAGCTTTGACTCCATGAAAACAGGACGTACATGCCTTGCATTCTGAACTAGGTTCTTCTGCCGTCTACGCCTCATTTGCTTTGAGCTTGGCATACACATTTGTTACCATATTAAGTCCACGGAAATAAGATGAGAAAAGAGATTCACAAGAACATTAAATGGAAAATTAAACAACTTACCAAAAGAAAAAGGTATGTTGTTTAGGATCAACACCATCTGCAACAATCTGAACAGAACATATACATGTAAATTACATACTTTTTATGGAAACTAGTTATATGGGATTTGCTCCAATTCTCCTATCTATTGATGAAGCTAGCACCTTTGACTATATAACTAAATTGAGGAATAGCGGCAAATTCAATGATGAGCCATACTATAGTGGCAAATTTCACCTTGATACTTCATAAAATAAAATTAGAACTTTGAATTATTTTAGTATACTTTTTGGTATAGATTTTGTAAGAATCAATAGTAAAAAAGACCAGCCCTACCCACTAACAATGGTCCAAATCAGTTTATTTAGCACCTTATTTTAACTCAGTAAGGGGGGGAGGGGGGGATCAGGAAATAGTCAACAAATAGAGTTCTTCAAGCCCTGAAAATAAAATGTCCTTACCTCAGATCTCCAACTATCAGTTTTGACTGAAACATTAACAGCTTGATACTCTTCAGTTACCTACAAAGTACCTATGCATTAGAAATATTGGTATGAAAGCATCAATTATTAAAATGCTACTGCAGATTCCTGAATTTTACCAACCCAAAACTCAAAATTGAATAGATCATGGGATGCTGGCAAGTGATGCCTCAGACCCTATACAAAATTTAAGCATCAACCATAAATGTCTAAGTTATACGGATTCAAGTTCATTTGAACCAAAAATAATACAAAAGAAAGAAAAAAATAGAAGCAAAAGGAACAACCTTAAAGCTTGCACATTTAACCAAGCAGAAAGGGCAAGAAAAATCTTCAGTTACTGCAAATAATTAGAATTTATGACCTTAAATCAATAAGATGAGTACAGTGCATAAATGATATAAAATTCCAAAACCAAAAACCAAAGGCTAATGAATAACTAGTTAACAGAAGTGACTACCATACAAGGCCCAGAAGATAAACCAAAAAGTTTAAAGAAAAATTCTCCTCAGCTTAGGGGTACAAGCAGATAAAGAAAAGGATCCAACATCAAAAAAAAATTCAAGTATAATTCTAAACAATGTCAACAGCTTTAGCATCCAAAAATAATATCTTTAATTTCAATGTTTGATTTCCTAGTCATATCCCCTCCCACACTTCAAATACTTACAGGAAAAGGTGTAACAAGTATATGATTCAAACCCCCCGCATTCCCAATAGAAAAGATGTAAGAACTAAGAAATAATACCTTCTGTCCTCTGTAACTTATTGTTGAAATATCTATAATTAAAGATGACATTTCCTGCTCTCAGCCTAGAACGAAAAGCAGCAAAGTTAAATTCTTAGAAAGAGACATAAAGACCACAATTCAAGAAGGAAAGAACATAATACAAATGCACAATCCTTTTCTCTTTCAACTGTAAATTTTTTTTTTGGTTGCGGGTGAGCTTGGTTTGAAACACAAAATTGAAGTCTAAAAGCGTTTAAATATGAATATGTATAGATGGGTAGTAAATCAAATTAAACATTAAGTATCCAAAACGATCATGAAAAAAACTGTCACCAAACTTCTTACTGATGAAACAAAGTAGCTGATTCTGCTGTATGATACTATGATTTATCGCTAGTGGAAACTTCAATGATAAATCAAGGCAGTCTTGGCAAAAAAAATTGGCATGATTTCATCACAAACAAAATTATTGAGACTTAGGTTCAGACCATATCATTTTGCCCTTCACCACATTCTTGTAAAATAACCTTTTTAGGAGCACCAAAGGTTTATGAGAATAAATGAATCTGAATATTATTTTAAAGTTCAATCAAGACTTGAGAGAGCTGAATGGTGGAACGTGATGAGCTAGTTAGAGAATGAAAACGTTATTTAATACGCATATACTGACATCAGGAAAAACTAGGTAACATTAAATTTTCAGGAAATAGAAAGAGAATAGGTTTGGTTAGAATAGCAAAACTACAAATAATAATTATTATAAATGTTAAAAGAAGGATTACTGAATAATATGAGACAGCGATGAAGAAGAAATGCCACTGCATGTGTATGAATTATAGGGAGATTTTTCCTTTGCCCCAACCTCCTCGGCAGAAATGATAACCTGCAGCTGCAGTGATTGGTTCTTTTGCAGCACAAATGACCATATTAAAAACCATAAGTTAAATATTTCTAAAAGAAATATCAGAAATGTATTATTAAAAAAAACAAACACAGAAGAACTACCGTTAGCAAAGAATTGCTCAAATTTTGGATTAAGATGCATTTGTCCTCATTCAAACAAGTCAACTGCAGCAATAAAATAAAATTACCCAAAAGTCAGATATTTGAAAATTTATATAAGTTTCAATCATCACTGTATAAATTTATTGCAATTTACTATACTGATTAAAATCATTTAAAGGAAGTTATTTCACTAACAATAAAAGCAGCAAAAGCGCCTGGCAAGTTCAGTTCTTTATTAATCATACACAACCAGATAAGCTTGTGGAAACCTGATTGGACACTAATTCTTTAGCAACACAACCAACACCCCAAGAAGACAGAGCCCTATGCTACTTGCATTCTCCAGACCATTATACTCCTTCGACACTGTTGAACAAATATTTCTCTGCTTCTACCACTTCTCAACCGATGTTAAAGTTTTCTTTGAAGCCCTCATAGATGTGCATGGGAGGAGTTCAAACTATCCCTTCAGCTCAAGCAATGATTAGGATGAATTCTCAAGTACAGTCTGAGACATGGTTGAATAATATTTTAGGCATATGCCCAATGAAAACACCAGGGAAAGGAACTGAGACCAAGCTCAATACCAGAATCATTCCTTAATAATATTATTTTATGTCTGCGAAGAACAAAAAAAATGGGTCCAGGAGCATAATTTGAGCACTTCCCTAGAAGTGATACATTAATGACTCAGTAATAAGTACCCAAAAGTAAAAGCTTCACCAAATGTTAGACAACTTAATTTTGTAATGATACTAACTGAAATTGTATCTTATGTCTGAGAAGAACATGAAAAATTGGTCCAGGAGCATAATTTAAGCACTACCATAGAAGTGAAGTGATACATTAATGACTCAGCAGTAAGTATCCAAAAATAAAAACTTCACCAAATGTTAGACAACCTAATTTTGTAATGATACTAACTGAAATAGTATCTAAGCAATTAGTAGGACAGTACTCAAGACCTTTAAGGAAAAGAAAATTATAACCACTAGGCTTTGATGCCACACCTTCAGTAAGCAAGAATGCATGTCAACAGGTAATCTCAGCTCAGCTCTTTGTCCCAAACTGAAGTTTGGGGATTTTTCCCATGAAAAATATAATGATTCTAATGGTATCCTACCCCATAAGCAGCATCCTCCATTGGCTGTCAAAATAAATTGAATGTGAAATTAAGAAGCCGAAAGAAAAGTAAACATTTAAGAAGTTTTCAACAATTCATGCTAAAATTAAGCCATTATAAAGGATCTAATCAATGCATCCACATGTAAAGGATCAATTAAAAACATACCAAAGCTGACTAGCAAAATTGCAAGTGAACCAGATTTTGCCTCCACTGCTAGCTTATTAATCTCCGGGAGAATAAAATTTGCTTGAGCTTGGTTACTGCCCTCAATGCCGGTGAAGCTAGTCAAGATACATGCCCGACGAAAACGATAAACTGCAGAATACTTCATTGTGGACTCAAAAAGTAAATATATCATATATGAAGTATAACAACAACAATAATGTATTTAGCATCGAATGCAAACTCATGAAACACCCTACCTCTGCAACCGCAACATCCGAAACTACTCTTGCCAACAAAATGTATAACGGAAAAAGGCTTTGAGTCAGTACGGCTTCATTCACAATCCTTGATACGGACACTGACATTTGTATTCTACGTAGCAATCAAATAAAATGCAGTTAATAACTCAAATTTACCTGTACATAGCAAATTTTGATCAAAGCAAACAAGACAGCACAGCATCAACAAAAAGACTAACAATCATTATCGACATTTTACTTGATAAACCCATCCAGAATCATACAAAAAAACTGTAATCCTATTGTAAAGAAACTTTTCATTGCTCCCTTACCGATGCTAATCCCACAAGCATATGCATTGTCAAACATAAGAATACATATAACATATTTGCCTACCCTAACAGCCATCAACATTCATCTCTAAAATCCTAATATTCTTCTACCAAAATGTACTAACGAAGGTCTGAATTCCCCCTTTATGCCCTCCCATCAGTTCACTAAAATGGGAAATAAAAGGGTAATGCTACAAAAAGCATTTACAAGTTACAACCATAAACTTTAGGAATATATAGTCCATTTATTTACTGGATTGAAAACATTACCTCATGTTGTGTTTTGCCTGAATTTTGTATCTCAAACATCTTTGAAGAAATGATGGCTGAAAGTAAAAAAAAAAAAATCATTGAAAGATAGCTACAACTTATAGGTAGAATGAAATCAAAACATAGATGTGTGTTAAAAGGAAAATCTCAGCCAATGAAAAGAAAATGAAGATGGTTTCAAAGCAGAAATATTTAAATATATAAAATGGCTGATACAACAAGAAACAGAAATATTACATTTCTAACAGCCCGTCTTTGAAGAATGTTATAGAGTTCTACAGGCTTGCAATATATAGATAGACTCTCTTCGGCAGCAATTTCCTCTTCTGCAGATAAATGCAGGCAGGAATCTTCTCGGCACATCTGATCTGTGCTTCTTGAATAACTGGAAAAAATGATAACAACAATAGAGAACTCTTACTCCTGAACTTACGCAAATAGTCATATTACAACACAGCAGAAAAACTAAAACTCTATAATAAATCAACAATAATCAAACATATGACTAAGAATAAGGTACTCTCAAAATAACCTTGAGGGAGCATTTGGTTCAAGTCATGTAAGACTCCCGGGTAATCTTACATTGCGGCATAACTTTCTCACGTTCAGTTCACAGAGATAACCTTGAGTCATTGATCTTACATTCCCAATAGTACAAAGATACCAAAATATGGGGATAATTTCAATACGACCTCTTTGAGGTAGGAGCTTTTACTTTTATGTTATTTTATTATTTCAGTCTTATTAATTAACTAGAAGACATATAGATAGACAGCTAGGATTATACGATATCTTTAGGGTTAAGTCTAGGGCTAGGATTATTATTTATCTTCATCGTTTAAATCTAGGGCTGGGATTAAAACCTTATTTGTAACTCCGGTATAAATAAGCTGTAAATTATTTACAGCCATATCATTCTCATTATTTTCTTTGATTTAATATTAAAACTAAAGGTTTTCTATAACCCCAAGTTCTCCAAAGTTCCTTCTTTCATTACTTGTTTGTTCAGCTCCAGTTCTATTGATTCACTGCTATTTCCCCCTCTAATACCCATCACTCTTCCTTAGGAAATGTAAGATTCCCAGTGCAATCTTCATTGTTGACATCTTTAACCTTCACTTCTATAATTTTGGTCAATTTTATCCATTCATTTTACAACCTTTTTTATATATTAAGTAAATATATTGAGCATATATTTTTAAAAATTATTACAATATAATATTTTAACTTAATACATAAATAAAAAAATTGATAAATTACCAGTTATTATATTTAAATTAACTAGTATATTAACCAAATTTAAAAATTATCTAAAATACTTTATAATAAAAAAATGATATTTAACTATCACAACAAATTCTAATTATTTAACCATCAAAAAAGTAAATTTTAAAGCAATAAAAATTTAGTAAAAGTTACTTTTAGGGAATGTACATTTCATCAACCTAGCAATAAAAGCTTACATTCCAACTATATGAACCAAACAAGAAAATATAACCCTTCGATAATGCACTAAGTAATTTTACATTACCAAATACCTTCCGAGAGGAAGGTCTATGTTAGGAAAAATACTAAAAAGAGCTACTTAATATGAGTTTTCCGTAACCTCTAATGTTATACAAAACATTATAAAATTCAAATAGTTTCTGTAAATGGGCAAGGCTTTGTGTAATTTATGTCAAACAGAACATTACAAATATTTTTAATAATTTGTGTAATTGGCTAATGCCTTGCGTAGCGTTACCAAAGTTCTTACAATTTAAGTAATCCGTTCCGGTTACACAAAACATTACTCAATATCCACTCCAGTTACACAAAATATTACTTAAAAAATGAAAAGCTTATTTTAGAAAGCTCGGCTACAACTTCTCTCTACATGACTATAAAGTAAATGAAAATTTTAGCATAACATGATTAAAAATTAGGCAAACCTCGGAATACCAAACATAAATACTAGCATAACATTAAAAAAATACCCAATGTGCTTAATCAGAGAGAACATACGAGGAGGTTTCACGAGCCACTAAAGGAATGCCCGGCATTCTTATTAGATGATGCTCAAGTTTAGTATCATAGCTTTCTCTCAACTTCTTCCCACCACAAAGTATCTTAAAATTCAACCAACTTAAACCTGCAAAGAAGAAATCAAAGCTTGTAAAACTCTATGTTTATAATCAACACCGGAAAAACTTATATTTTATGTTAAATATCAAATGTTATTTTGCTTTCAGATATTCATCAATCATTTCAAAAGGATCAAGAAAAATAAATCTGAGAGGAAACAACGAAGTAAATGAAGAGAATTAAAAGGAGAAAAATAAATAAACATAAAACAAATTGGAAAAAAATGTGATGAAAAGAGATTGACAGAATAAGATGAACGGACCTTTGAGAAAGGAAGAACCCTAATTGGGAGCTTGGAAATTGAAAGAGAAACTTCAATTTTGGATTTGGAATGAAACCCTTTTTCGATAAGTTAATATAGTCGACAAAAAGGCTGAGAAAGTAGTGTGCGAGTTTTTGTGCGTTTCTCGAAGCGATTTTTCTTTTTCCTTTTTTTATTTTTTTTCCTCAGGCAGTTCCCATTTTTTTTCGAATTAGAACAATTACAATTAAATATGTAAATGAATGATACAAAAAAAAATTTGATGTATCTGTATTTGTTGTACGGAGTAATAGGCATTAATTTAATTTAAAATTTACCAAGAATTTTTTTATAAAAAATTCTTTTGTTCTACAGAATAAATAATTGTTGTTATTTCTTGATATTTTGAATTTGAGCACCATAAATACAACGATATAAGCTTATAATATCAAATAATTAAGAATTATTATTAAAAATATATTATCCTATATTTACCTCAGATTAATCAAATAATAATAATAATATCTATATTAATTATTTAGTTATGATTAAATTGAATATTGTGAGTTACTCGTATTCCATCCAATTGAACATTTTAAAAAATAAATAAATTATAATAAATGTTTGTATAGTAGTATTTTTTTCCTTTTTTCTTTTTATATGTTTATCTTAATTACTAAAGTCGTGATTGAATTTAGTATCAGTGATAAGTTATTTTAAAATAATACATATTTATATAATTGTAATACCGACATACCGAGGAAGGTAACCCGATCCAATTCGAGGTGTCATATTAAGGTTACCGGAGCAACCCACAATAAAAATCTAGGAAAAATTAAATTTTTTGCTAAAACGTGTAAAATCATAAAACAATTTATAAATAAAATACAAGTCCAGAAAACCATTTATATATTACAAACAACATTAAAATTATACAAGTTCCAAACTCAATATATAAAAAAATCAAATGTGACCTACATGCCCCCTAATTACACATTATATCGTACTCTGCAAGCAAAGTTGAAGGAACTCCCAATACTGAAGTTGATAGTTGCACTGAATCGATTCTTTTAACCTGAAACGGTGAATAAAGAGTGAGCTTTGGGAAGCTCAGTAATACATAACTACCATATGAATGTAATAGGCCATCAAGTATAAATAAAGCATGAATTTTCTTAACGATAAAGTCATCATCAGGTTCTAGCGACGAACCCATATTTCATTAATCATTTCTTTAGGTAACAGTCGAGAAATTAAAATATGAAGAAAATATTCAAATAGAGTAAAAGATTCAGGAGATTGAGATACAGAGTCTGGTGTGTTCCCTCAAAACCAGAATAAATGTAATCATAGTTTAAAAGCAATAGTAGTTTATTTCAGTAAAACAAGTTTTGAAATCATTATAATACCCTCAACCTGAATATTCCATATGCAGTCCCCCAGAATTGCATTCATAAGGGCTTACCCTAAGCACAAAGCAAATGAGCCACCCTAAGGGAGTATTGTGCGGCCTATGGGCCTACCCAAGGGTCTCCTTAGGTCCGTAAGAATTTACCAGCTTGATCATAGCTGAACCTTCATACTACAGACTCATACCCATACAATATCCAATAGAAATCAGATTGAGCAGTACTCTATAATATCAAAATCATGATCTAGTAGTATATAGTAAAAATGACTATGTAGTTATTTAAATCACATAAATGTCCTTCATTCGTACACCATATGTAGTTCCCCAAAATTGCATCCATAAGGACTTACCCTAGGCCCAATTGACTTAGGAGTCAACCTAAGGGAATGCCTTGGGGCCTGAGAGCCTACCCAAGGTCACCTTAAGTCTGTAAGGAATTACTAGCTTGATCAAAGTCGAACCTCCATAATCCAGCCTACCCAGATAGTGTCCCAATAAATTAGTTCAAGTAGTAACCAGTAGTTTCATGATCCTTACTTCAGGCATATTTCATTTTTCCAGTAAAACAAGTAATCAATAAATCATTATATCAATCAGTAAAAACAATCGTAAATCAACCAGATGTTCATTTAAAATTTCCATATAAAACAGTTGGGTAGCATATAGGGAACACATCAGAATATTCAATTATTTTTTGAAGGCAATTGATCGTTATCATGAAAGAAAAACGTATAACTTCTATAGGTTGGACGAAATTCAGAATCAAGGTCCTTATAAAAAGGATTCATTCATTAGTAGATCTAATTAACATTTAGAAATTGATGTTTCAAAAATCATTTAATATTCGAGTGGATTAAAAAAAGCACTTAGGAACCTTTACATCATAATTATTGAAGATCTAGGTATAACATGAGTGTTTCCAATATTCAGTCAAATAGGGATATTTCGGACATTTTAATTTCTGATGGATTCTTAGTAACTTAATCCAATAAGGGTAAAATAGTAGTTTGCATTATTATAAATTTATATCAAAATATCATGATTTTGAGTCAAATCGTACTAACTGATCTCCACCCTGTAAAACTTGTTAATAATCCGGACTGATATACTTCACGAATAATCACTTTTTAATGTTGATTACACTGGTTGAACTGATCACTTTCAGAATCACCACTGAGTGGAACTAGAGGAAACGATCAGGTATTCGATGGTATTATATAATTTTGTGATGTATCAGTATGAAGAATACTCAGCATACTTGAGTTATGCTCTATAATTGTAACACCCCAACCCGTATCCGACCCGAGTACAAGTCCTAGATGTCACATTGACTTTTCAAATCATTTTCTTATATAAAATAGAGAAGAATTTCAAACCTAATTTAAACATATTGAATAATTTACATACATTAAATCAAAGGTTTACAAAAACTTATCAGAGCTTATACAAATTAATTATTTAAGTACAACGTTATTTAATACAATACAAAAACCTACTATTCAATTTCTTCTGATCTGATCTCCGATGAAGTTATGTTATCTCCACCTATCTTCGCTTTCAACCTTCTTGGATCCTCCGTGTGAAACACTCACACGCTAAGTCACAGACTTAGTAAGACATGTAAATAACTAATAGAAAATGCAACTACTTAACAATGCATGTACAGTTCATACAATACAAAGCTTATATGCACATATATCATCATTTTCATTATTAACATTCTTATCCTTAATTCATATAATCATATACTCTTATACCTAACAATATAAATAACATCAAATAGATCTTGAAGTATATTTCACATCATAAAACATATACCCCACATACAATGTATTTGTTTTATATCTCTTTATTAGCCCATAAATACTTTTGAGAACTTAAGGTATGTGAGTACATTGAGGTTTGTGCATAAATGTTGTCACCACAACTTGTATAAATTCTCACTAGGGGCGCATAGAATTTGTCGCGAAAGACCACATATATATCCCGAAGAACCACATAGATGTCCCAAATGACCACTCCTTAAGGATCATATATATATTCCAAATGAGCAAATATGTGTCCCAAAGAACCACATACATGTTCCAAAGAATTACATATATATCCCGAAAGACCATATAGAACCCTCAACTCTTGACATGCCAATTATACCTCTAGCTCTCATATCACATATCATGGGCATTATCATTTATGTTTATCACATTTTTTTACACATTCATATCACATAGGCATATAAACTCATAGCTTTTTATCATGTATATCATGTAATATTCTCATTGAGTCTCATATGTCATTATCATATATATATATATATATATATATATATATATCATATCATATATTCTTGTATTCATATAGACATATAATTACATAGATCACTTTCACATATCTCTTGTCATATGTCTTATCTCTTATAATCATATAATCATATAACTTATTATCACACATAGCTCATAATCACATGATTTATCATACATATATGCATTCGCATAACTCACGTATAGAGATGCACTTAACATCTAGACATATGTATATACTCTTGTACACATAAGCATCATATCACTATATGCTTGTATTCAGGTACTCATGTAATCTAATATCGGAATTAGATTCATCGCATGTAACATCCCAAAACTAGAGCAAGTGACTAAAATGGAAGTTTTTAAAATTTGAAGTCTGATTTTGAAATATTTGAAATATTTTTTTTGTTCAGTAAATAACTGATGGAATAAGGGGTATAATGGTCATTTGACAAAGAAAGATTTTTATTTTCCCTTATAAAAGAAGTAGACACGTGGAGAGGAGAATAAAAATAAGAAGACTCTGATATGCTTGGCTTTCTTATTCCTTTCTTCCCGTGGCTCCATTGGTAAGGTAAGATTATGTCAAGTGATTGTTTCCTTTCAATTTGAAGTTGGGTTTAATTCTTGAGATGGTAATTAAGCTAAAGGAAAGCTTAATATGTCTTAAAACCATAAGATGAAGGAGTTAAGAGAGATTAAAGATTATAAGTTTTTAAATGCAATTTTCGAAAAGAGTTGATAAGTAGAATTTGAAGTTAGATTTGACTTGTCAAAGGGTTAATTAAAAAGTTAGAAGTGATAGAATTGAATTAAGAACACATGGAAAATTTGATGAAATTCTTTGATTCAAGAATTATGGTGAATTATGAGGGATAGTGAAGTGTTATAGTGTTATAAGAAGGTTTACATATGTATAGATAAGTTTTAAGGCATAAGGAGGGGTTAATAAGTAGAATTTGAGGACAAAGTAAGAATTTTCGGGCTCAAAATGTAATTTCTGGGTTGTGTGCATCGATGCATCTTCAATGTGTATCGATGCACTCTCAAATACATGAACATCGAATGCAATTAGTGCATCGATGCATAAGGAGTGCATCGATGCACCCCCGTAAGATTAAAACATCGAAGGTGATTTGTGTACCGATGCATGGGTAGTGCATTGATGCACATGTTAAGGGATGCATCGATACACTATAGAATGTACCGATGCACTTCAAGGGGAAACAGAATTATACCTTTCTTTTGGTCTAAGAAATGATAGATTAGAATACCTCAATTGGATACTGATATGTATCGATATATGATTATGTAGATATCGAGCATGAACAAGTTCCGGGATGAGTATCAGGTTAAGATTCGATCGAAAAAAATGAATCATAAAAGATGATTGGAACTTAGTGATGTCAAGGTGAGTGCAATTTAATTTGTGCTTATAGAACAAACATCGGCTTGTGATAAGTTAG